TTGCATCCCGAGGTTGGGTTCTCGCACCCGTAACCAATCACCTGAGAGCTCAACTTTCAACTCATCTATTGTTCATAAAATACCGGAGCTCAACTTTTAACTATCTATTGTTCATATGGTGATAACACATTATATACGTAGAGGGCTAGTGTGGTTTACTGTTGTGGCGGGTGCCCTAAGAGCAAGTATAGTAAGAGATTTTAGGTAGTCTGTAGGCTGTTTGCTTATGTTGAAAAGAGAGAAGAGAAGCGGACTATAAATATTGTAAGAAAAATAAGTAGCAACCAACATTAGGATGTATTATTAGCCTTGCTGACGGCTAGAGCACGCTAATCCTTGCCACCGGCCAGTTAACCCCGGGGACACGAGACAAATCTCGAAGCACGGAACGGGGCATATGGATGGCAAAAGTTCTGAATATTTCTTGTCTGCCCGGCCTGTGACCCCGCGAGATGCCGATTTCGATGTGCGCAGCTGAGCGAGATCCAAAGCTGGGATTAGCATATTCAAATGCTTAAATAACGCGAGCGGTCAGTGGTTAGCTGAGCGTTTAGCTCTCTGTCTCTCTCTGCGACAGCTAATCCTGATCGATGTGCCCAGCCCTGGCAATGCATCGGGAAGAAGAATCTCAGGCTGGTGCTCGCGAACAAAAGTCCGGGCATGTTCGTTTAGCCGTGGCTCATCGTAAACGATCGTAAATTTTTAGACGGAATATTATTTTTTCTCGCACAAACCAACCAACACTATTTCTTTACGAACCAGCAACGATACGAAATAGCCAACCGAACCGGCTAAGTCGGGCGGCAGGGTTTCGCGGAGCAGACTAATGCGGTGGTTGACCCGCTGGGCGTGGTCCGTGTGAGCGCGGTCGCCGCAGTCGCAACGCCGTGGCTGGGCGGATCCTCTGCGTCCGTGAAACCGTGACCGGGGCTTTGTTTAGATTGCTTCAAAATTCCAAGTTTTTTCATTCTCTCCATCACATTAATTTTTGACGCATGCATGGAGCATTAAATGTAGGTAAAAAAAACTAATTATACAGTTTGGTTGTAAATCACGAGACGAATCTTTTGAGTCTAGTTAGTCTATAATCAAATAAAGTTTGTCAAATACAAACGAAATATGCTACGGTGTCCGGATTACAAAAATTTGCAATCTAAGGGCCGGAATGTGAACGCTGCGGTGGTCAGTGGCCGTTGGAGTCGGTTTCCGACGAGAATCCATCGTGTCCTTTCCCCTGGAAGGACGAGGAGGCCTTTCCTGGGAGACGCAGAGGATCTCGTTCTCGTCAGACCAACCGTGCTACTGGCGTCCTGCTGCCGCAGCACGCACCGCCAGACAGACACAGACAGCTAGCCATCACTTGTCGAACGCATGGCGTGGCCACGGTAGGGCAGTCGCACGACGCCGCCAGCTTGCTTTATAAAAAAGCGGCCACTGTGCGCAGTCGCAGGTCAAAGCTTCTCCGGCCCTCACGGCCTCACTGTTATCAAACTTGTACCGTGAGAGCCGGGTTAGTTGTTGATGAGGATACGCTGTTATCTTTCTGTTGTAGCATATTGTATATGTTGTTATTTGTTTTGTAGTTATCCTCATATCTCAATAAATCCGGGTTCATGCAAGGGGCAATTCCTTGCCTATATAACAAAGGTGCGGCCTCCTACGGGCTGGCAATGTGATGGCGCAACAGCGGCAGCAACGCAGGCACGGGAGCGGCGTTGGCGTCCTCCGCCTCGTCGCGGTGCTCCTCCTGCTCTCACTCTGCCTCGCTCGCGCCAACGCCGTGGCACGCCTTGGGCTCCTCTCGGTATATGTTACTCCATCCGTTTCAAATTATATATTACTCCATCCATTCCAAATTATAAGATGCTTTGTTTTTTTTTCTAGATGTACTATTTTCACTATGTATATATACATAGTGTATATATTTAAGTATATAGAAAACACTATGTATCAAGAAAAAACAAAATATCTTATAGTTTACTATGGAGAAAGTATATTTGAGATAGAAGAACCGTAGGGGAGAGAACTAATTTTATTATTTTTTTGGTTCGGATGCACCCTATAAGAGGATGTAAGGGAATCAAGTTCAAGAGGACTCTTGAAGACGCTCAACACGGATCCTGCACGGAGGCTTATGTTTGAGTGCAGACATGGACGGTCTCTGTGCTGGCGCGGCTCATCTTATGAATCGTCCAGGATAGTGATTATTTGTGTAAACTTTAGGCCCGGCCACTAATGGCCCATCGGTAGATACTAGCAGCTTGTTCGCTTGGTCGTAAACGATCGTAAATTTTCAGCCAGAACAATATTTTTCTCTCACACCAAATCAGTCAGCAGTAATAATCAACGATCGTATACGATCGTTTCAGCCCCCAGCCGAACAGGCTATAGAGCGGTCCGAATGGGCACTTGATACCAGGCGACCTGCATCGATAATGCTAGGAAGCAGACGTTCGTCCATCCCGACGCCTCGCTCCGCTCGCTTCCGCCCACGTCGTGCGCCCTCACCCATGTGGTTGCCCGCGCCGCACGCCTTGATCAGTGATCGCCACGGTCGTCTCCATTTGCCCGCGCGGCCCGACCCCGCCCGCTCGCATTTGCAGCCTCCACTGCGCCGCGCGGACTCGTTTTGCCCGCCATGGCTACTCCGTCTGCCTACTGCGGGCGACTCCATCACGGTGGGGCACCTCCATCCGCCAGCCGCGGCCGCCTCCACCGCGTCGGGAGCCTCCACCGCACCAGGGGCCGCAATCCGCTGTCGCGGACGCCTCCACCGCGTCGCTTGCGCCATGTTGCGCTGAAAACATGTGTTGCAAACGTATGTTCCAGGTGTTTCAGATGTTTCAGAGGTATTGTTGAAAGTGTTTCATATAGATGTTGCACATGTTGCAATGTCTATACACGTATGTTTCAAGAGTTTGTTCAAAATATTTCATATGTTTCCAACGTATGTTGCAAGTGTTTTATCTGGATGTTGCATATGTTGCAAATAATAATTATGTTGCAAGTATTTTATCTGGATGTTGCATATGTTGCAAATAACTATGTTACAAATGTATGTTTCAAATGTTTCATCTGTTTCAGACATATGTTGCAATTGTTTCATCTAAGCGTTGCAAAAATAGATATGGATATAGATCTGGAGGAAGCCCAAGCCCTCGGTGGTCCAGCCATTGCGGCTCCCTGGTGTGGCAAAGATGGATGCCACGGACACGGGAGCGGCGGGGATAGGATGCCACGGCGGATCACGTGGGATGGGCGCGGGCACAGCGCATCAGGCGGGATGAGGAACTGGATGGGCGCAGGCAAGGGAGCTGTGTGTTGGGCGCAGGCGCAGGAGTTCCATCCAGACAAACGTGGCCTCCGGAGCAGTATGGACGTGGGGCGAGGGAGCTCGTGCGTCGGACGTGGGCGTGTGAGCTGCGTCCGGGCGCTACTTCAGGAGTGTTTCTGCAGTAGTGTTTATTTCCCTCCTTTCTGTTTACCGTCATCTGGCCACCAGGAGGGTAGTGCTACAAAATTATGAGTTGGTTTGCGTTCAAATAACAAAATTATGAGTTGGTTGCATTAGAGTGACACAATGGACGCCACGGAGATGCCAAATTAGAATATCAACAGTAACTAGAGTTATTTGGACCTCTCACAAATCACTTAGGAAGCTCAACATAGAACTAATGGACCTAAAGGCAGCTCCAACAGTATTAAAAGAGCTAGCTTATACAATATTTCATATTTTTAATGAAAAAGAATAGAGAATGATAAACAGCTTTCATTAAGAGCTAAGTTCACATTTTTCTATGGATTATGTGTCTATGTTTACATATTTTTTATGCTAGCATGTTAATAAGTTACTCTATTTTTTTCTAAAGTTATATGAGCTAGCAAGTTGATCCTATTTTTAATATTATTAAGATGCACTTGAACAAATACATGGACCGTTGGTATATTTGTCCCCTCGTGCTAATAGTATCTTCTTCGTCTAATAGGCCGATGCGAGTGTCAATTAAGAGTCCGTCTAGCCTACGTTTCAGTGTTGCAGCACTCGATTTTTTCCTTCACTGTTCATCTTCTTCCTCGCCCCTGTCGTCGCTCACTGCCCCGCCGTGGCCTCCTTTTCCCTCCCCCCTCCTTCCGTGGCGAGCTGTGGCCACGGGTGCCCCCGCCCCGACCTGGTCCGGTTGCCTTCGCCGCCGCCGCCGGGACCCGAATGTTGTCGGGTCGCTATCCCCATCGCCTGGGCAGCCTGCCTTCCCCAATTTTTCCTTCTAAGGCCATCGGATTTGGAGATGAAGAGGGGGAGAGTCGCCGGACTTAAAGAAAAAAATGAGATGGAGAGGAATGAGTGTTGAGAGGGAGAGAAAAAACTTTGAGGCTTTGTTTGGCTGCACACAAAAGCCCTAAGTGTTGTTTAGCCTTTTCTCTTAATTAAAGTAACTTAAAAACAAACACCAACAAACAGTACTGGCCATTGAGGGCCCTCGTGGGGTGGATGTGGATCGGATCGGATCGGATCTCCTGATCGTCTTGCTCCCATCGCCGATATATAAAAATAAAAAAAAACAAATCTCACTCTGGAACGCTGAGAAAGGAAAATGCACGTTTGTGCGAGCCATGATTTCAACAAAGAGTGAACATGTTCTGATTTCAAAGTAGTGGATAAAAGGTGATCAAATCAATCAATCAAGAAAAAAAACAAGAAATCCACCAAGAATAATCAAACCATCGTAATCAAGAAAATAAATGACACCAACAAGAAAGAAGAAAAGCAAAGCCATCCAAGTGGCAGGCAACACACCATGATTGGTCCTCCGACAGCCAGCCAGGCCAGGTCACCCCTCACCCGTCCTACTCCGAGTCCATGTGCTGGACAACGAAGCGGCGCACGACGCGGACGAGCTCGTCGGCGCGCTGCGACCACGGGTCCTGTTGTTGCCAAGTGTCGTTGTTGGAGATAGTCTAACAAAGGTGCCTACGGGAGGTTCAACGCTTCCTATTTTGTGATGGCGCAACAGCGGCAGCAAAGCAGGCACGGGAGCGGCGGCGGCGGCGTCCTCCGCCTCGTCGCGGTGCTGCTCCTGCTCTCGCTCTGCCTCGCTCGCGCCGACGCCGTGGCCGCGCCTTCGGCTCCTCTCGGTATATGTTCCTGGGTGTCCCACGTCGGCCAGTTCCGGATTGGGGTCCTTCCCGACTTTGATTTGAACGGCTTGGTCTCTGTGCTCTCTTCTCTTTGCAGCGGGTGCTGTGCTGCCTCAGAGTCGGAGCATGGCGTGGCGACCGCACTGGAGAATGCTCTAGCACAGGTCAGTGATTCACCCCCAAAATGAAGCTTCAATTGTTGCCTGCCCTTTTTACATAGCTTTCGAAACCCGTTAGCTATTACAGTGTTCAAATGCAAAGGTAAGATCAGTTGCAAATGCGATTTGATTGATACTAGATCAAAGGAATGGATATGCATCTGGCCGCCGGCCGGAGACAATAGCATGATGTGCAATCGTAAGTATCATACAGTTTTTTTTATTTTCCTATATAATGGCAGCTGGTAGGCTGCCATTTTTTTGTGAGAGCAGATTTCTCAACTAACAAGATTACAACTCTATAAACAATCATAGGGTTGCTTTGTTTGTCAATTGCTAGTTCATCTGATCGATTAAACAGGACGTGCCTAAACTGATGATTCTGGTTAACTGAATAACAATGGTGCACGTGTCCAGGAGGAGGTGGCCCGCGGGCACTCCACGGCCTCGACGGCGGCGGCAGAGGAGGACGACGGCGACGGAGCGGTGGTGCTAGAGAGGGTGGCGATGGAGTCGACCGAGAACTACGGCTTCCCCAGCGCCAATAGCCGGCACGTCCCGCACCCGTGATTGGCGACCACAGCCGCCGCCGCCGGCTGGATCGCCGCCGGCCGCATGGGACCCAGACCAATCAATCACAGCTGCTGCTGCTAACCTGTGGCATGCAGCGGGATGCCGGGATCGGGGGCAGGGGCAGGGACAGCTGGAAGAACAGTGTAGTGTGGTCGCAGTAATTGTAGTTCGCGCGTGGCTACTCAGCAATCACTTTGTCTTGTAAACCTTTTTATGTGCTTCGTTTGCATGCACTGCACTGCACGAGCACGGCCATCTGCCCATCTAGTCGTCAAAGTGGCTGTGATTATATTCGCCTCTGATCGATGTCTCTGTCAGTGCCGGTCCATTTTGATGGCTGTCGGTCGAACTCGTCGCGATGGCCTCTCTAAACCGTGTATAAAATATTATAATATATAGACGTCAATTTTATTTATAAGATAAAAATAAATTCAATGATATATTTTTAAATTTAACATAAGTTTTAGGTGCATTTTTAGTCTTTTTGTTTTCTTTTCTCAGCCCCCGATAAATATTTATTAGGTAATATTCTAAAATTCTAACATCTAAATTAGAAGAAAAACACGACTATATTAGTACAGAGTACTGGTAGAAGTTTGAAATACTATAAAAATAATTAATTTGGATTAAAAAATGAACAAGTAAAAAAATATCTAGGGCATGATCCTAGTGAACTAAAACTGATCGGCTGATGCTGAATTGCTGATTGCAAAACTGATCGTCGTCGTTCATCGGTGGATCCATGGACATGGAGGCCTCGACGCCTGGTCGCCGCTGCCGGGCGCTGTGTCCGTCCGATGTCTGTCTCCCCACGTCTGCGGCGGCGCACGCACAACTCCTCGTATCGCTCGTCGCTCGCTGACGTCGCGGTCTCTGCTCGGCTGCTTGCGAGGTCATTAATTCGCTAATGGACTATAAGGCCGAGGGTTCTGTATACCTGAGCTTGGACCCCTCCCTCGTCTGGGCCCTCGACCGTCGCACCCCGTGACTCTCCCCTAGGGCCGGCACTGGTCTCTGTCTGCATGGCTCGCACTAGAGCTTCCCTTTTGCTTTGTTCTTGTAGTGTCGGTGACTAGCTCCTCAGTGTGATCCTAGCTGGTTAACATGTGCTGCAAACCTTGTTTAATCTGCTCCTGTGTCCTGTCCATCTGTGCTCTGTGCAGTGCAGAGAATGCCTGCCGAATTACTAATTTCTTTTCCGTGTTCCTACATGCATGATGATTGCTTCTATTTGAATACGATGGATTGTGAGGATGGCCGGCGGGCAGTCAAAAGTGTTTCGATCCGTCGAGCGAATATGTCTGTCTCTAATCGATACTAGGGATACGCGGAAGAAAGTTAATAGCCGCGAACGTTAATTCATTCGGATGGTCCAAGACGCATTTAAGGACTCACCTAACTCTGAGGGAGCAGGCTCCGTCTCGCCAGACCCCTCGGGCGCGGGTTCCGTCTCGCCCGACCCTAAGGACGAGGGCTCCGTCTCGTCAGAATCCCTCGACGCGGGTTCCGTCTTGTCCGACGGGGATCTATACTGCCTCCAACCACTACGGGTCTAAGAGTACGACCCCAGGGTTAAACTTCTGACACCAGGAGAAAAGCGAGCACGTCTCGACGTGACACGTGGCCACGATGGACCATACCTAGGGCTCACGTCGCCAACATGTTCGGGCGTGCCGGCGCTGTGATGCCTAATCCCGTACGGCTTCTAACAGGAGTACATGTTGACCACGCCGCCTGCCGGAAGGGAGTGGAGCGCCGCGACCGGCTAACGACGCCTGTGTATAGCGCCATTGACGAATAGGGCCGCGATATGGAACCGTCCCCATCATCAGCTACAGGACCGGTGGGACCCGCATAAAGGAGATGAATGACGCCGCGACCCTAGAGGCCTTCTTCTCCCTCGTTTTTCTCCTTTTTTCTCTCTTTCTCTCTGTAACCTGCGCCTTTCCCTTCACCTATAAAAGGGTAAGCAGGACGCCCCATGAAGGGGAGAGGCACGAGCGCATGGCTGAGCAGCTGAACAAACTCTCAGCATCTTTCAATCCTTCCACCAGAGACATGGGATCCGCTTCCTCTCTCGCTCATCTGTAACCCCTACTACAGACAGTGCCGGTAAAACGAGCAGCAGCAGACTAGACGTAGGGACGTTTTGCTCGATCCAGTATAATTCTTATGTCCACCGAGCACACCATCCGGGACAGACGTGCAAACTAGAAATTTATTAGCCGGTGATTCGAAACACCGACAGTTGGCACGCCAGGTAGGGGGTTTTTGCGTGTCTCGACATCCTCATCAGGCCTTGGATGGCTAGTCACGGCGTCAGCTGAGTCCCGGACACGCACGTGCGCTTCGGGAGCCTCTACTTCATCGTCACGATGGTGGGAGAGTTGGCGTAGGCTCCTGCCGCTGTCTAGCCTCTCCACTCCGCGGTCTCGACGCGATCGTCGAGGCGCTTGAGGAGCTATAGCTGCATGCGCTGGAGGCCTATGTCCTCGGGAGCGACCGGCTCCTCGGCTTCGACTACGGGAGGCTGGAGCGCCAACTCGACGCCTTCCTAGGACCCCGACCGTCCCGAGAGGAGCTGCGCTATCTTATTTTCTCCTTCGCCAATGCCATGATGCAACTCGCCGGAGGGGAACCACTCTCCCCGGAACACCTCATCCGGGGCGCCCCAGCAGCATTCCCGTTCAGCCTACGCAATGCTGTGGGGATCGTTGGCCACCTCGTTGTGGCAGAACCTCCTAAGAAATCGGGCCCACGTGCACCTATTGATGTCTCAACAGATCTCAGATAGGGTACACAAGTTTCCAACAACTTAACAGGTCTGTCGGGTGTCCTCGGGAAACCCGAATCATCCACGAATCTCTTCCAAACAGTATCCCAATCACAGTCATTGCAGATTACAACAGTTTTCAATATACATATCAGAGATTATAAAGCGGAAGACTTAAGTTTTAATATTACAAACCAGTTGTTTCAAACTTACAAAACCATAAGTATCATACAACCATAGTAGCGGGATAATATTATATTAACATTATTTATTTCACACAAACTAGTGCCTTGTCCAAAGGCCATTCATCATTCCTCTTCGTCATCGACTTCAAACACTGACATGCAGCAGGGACCAAAATAAGCCTGCGCATGCGACTCACCTGCAATAAGGGTTAACAAACCTTGAGTACAAAAGTACTCAACAAGACTGACCTGACGTAAAAGGGGCGAAGGTCTTAGGGATGCAGGTGTTGGGTCAAGGTAAGGATGTAGCAAAATTCAAAAGTTCTTTGCCAAAAGCTTACTATTCTTGATCCTAGTTTCAAGTTTTACCCCTAAGTACTTTAGTTCATTATCTCAAACCAAGTATTCATATCACATATTCCAATCCTTCTCATTCCATTCTTTTTCTCATGTTTTAGTAATTCACCAGTCCTGCATTGCTTCTGTAATAAATCGAGTCTCCATATCCGTGGAGCACCGGCAATTCGAATTGATTCAAGTCCCAGCTGGGGATTCCTTATCACACGACATGTGTAGAACTTAATCTTGCATATATCAACCTCACTACCGGATCTTCCCATACTAAGCCATCTCCACGCCACCCGAGAGCACAGCACGCCTCAAATCCAGCCACATTCAAGCCACAAGGGTACACGCTACTCCCGCCATCTCACCACTCCCAGTGCGTGGGCATTCGTCTTAGTATCGGGTTAGCCGAAGTAGGCTTACCGGAGTATGTGACCAGTACTACAAAGTGTCTCGTTCAGAAGATCCACAATGAGTGGCCTTTAAGCGACATAGTCGGCAACATTACCCAACATTGAAGATAAGTCACTCGACTAGTCTCTAGTTCATTCTCTCTTCTTTCTTTCTTTCTTTGGCCAGTATGCCATCTTTGATTGTATCAAAACTTTTACTTTGAAAGCCTACCACAAAGCATACTAAGTAATTCTACGCCTTTGTAAATGAAATCATCTTCAAGGATGGTAAACAATTAACAAGGTAGGCAATGCATCAAATAGATAACATTTGAATTAATCAACTTAATGCAATAAGTAACATAGGTGATAAACTTTTCAAAGTAAACAAGGTAATGGTTTAATGCATAAACCGGGGCTTGCCTTCGTTGACGATCTCTGGTTCCGGATTAGTACCACAATTATTGAATCCCGTGACAACCGAGGATTCTTCCACAACTTGCTCAACTAGAATCGTTTCACTCTCGGATTCTACATGAAATAATAACATATGCTTCAATATGATGATAATGTAAATATGATGCTTTCATGGTACATGAAATATAATCACACCTTGAATACAACTTTCCTTCGCGATACAGTTGTAAGTCACAAAAACTACTTGACACTAACATCTAGGGTTTATGACCGAAGTGACTTGACCAAATTGATCTTGAAACCATACTGGTCACACAACATGACCCAAACAAGATCAAACCCTAACCCTAACAATTAGGGTTTGATTTTATTCAATTTTGAATTAATTTGGAAATAAGCCCAAAAATAAACTTGTTCCAAATGACCTCAAAATTTTATGTAAGCTTCCTCATAACAAATTAGTGTACCAAATAAATTTCATAATTTTTGGAGCTATACAGTGACCTACAAAAATTATGAAAATTGCATTTATCAATTAATTGACTGAATTTTTGAACATTAAAAATTTATTCAAATTTCAAGTTTCAAATTTTTAAACCATAATAGAACATGTACAGAAGCTACACACAAATTTTCAGAATTTTTAGAGCTGTAATTAATTTCCTATAAATTTTTAAATTTACTGCACTATTCAAAATCCAGAAATAACAAAATTCCACTATTCTCTCTCTCTTTCACTGACAGCCCGACCCCACTCATCAGTGACACATAACATAACACGGCGGCGCTGCCATCACTGGCCGGCCCAAAACGCGCCGACGGCGAGTCTCCGGCGAGGCAGACCGCACCTACATGATCTACACCATCCCACGAATCCATCCCAGT